ATCAAAATCCCCACTGCAAGTGTACAACAAATAAAAGTACTCCACAAAAAAAGGAAAGAATTTCGCGATGCGGTCCACTGACTGCCGCTGTCGCTGACTCTGCTGCCACTGCCACTGCCGCCGCTTGCTGTGGCTCTTGTTGTTGTTGTTGTTGTTGTTGTTGCATGTTCCTGCGGTCGATCGCAGTGAATGTTTATGTTGCTGCTGTTGCATGTTGTTGTTGTAGCATTGTTGTTGCTGCTCCTGGTGTCATGTCGTTCATCAGCGTAACAATTTTTATTGCTGTTCGGGACCGCAACTTTGTTGTCGATAAAATTTTAATTCGCTTTGGCTTACATTTTGTACGGTTCCTTCGATTTCAATTTGCGGCACAACCAAAAAAAAAAAGAGAAAAGCCAATCGAGCGGGGGAAAAGGAAGACTTAATGAATTGAAGTAGTTTTTGCTGCGTGTGGCATTGGGGCAGGGGGCAGGGGGCATGGAGGAGGAGTCTCCAGCAGGGCATACCCCATTCGTTTCAGCTCAATCTGCGGGGCATTTTTGCATGCATCCCTCGGCGGGGCCCTTGCGCCAAATTGATTTATAGCGTTCAAACATGTTGCCCCCACCCGAAAAAAGAAGAGAAAGAAAAGGGGAAGGGAACGACCTGAAGCTGGTACCGCGATCACGTCCCCAATTATAAACACAACTAATTGCCCCGCCAAATGTTGCATGAAAGCGTTGCAAATTTTTAATAACATGGCATACAAATTTTGTGCTAAATTGTCAACATTACGAGGAAAGGAGGAACCACAGCAGCAGCGACATGAGGAGCATCAGCAGCAGCAGGAGGAGCAACAACAAGCAGCTACACTTGCAACCACAGCAACAGCACCACTTGACACAGCAGCAGCAGCAGAAAGTAAGCCACAAGAACAGGGCACTACAGAAGGCGGACTCCCATCCCCAAGACTCCCGCTAAAAGCAGTCACAGATTCCTACAATGGGGCATGATAAATTCATGGCTACCGTTTTTGCCTGTATCTGTTTGTGTTTTGTTTTTGGCGCTGCACGCTTTTGACCTGCAACGCGCGTGCCAGCAGCAACATGCACCACAGCAACAGCAACAGCCACAGCAACAATGGCAAACCGAAACGTTAACCTTGCCACCAAATGATCTTTGATCTTATCTTGGGACAGGGGCAGGTAAAAGTGTTATAAATCAGTTGCATCTTTCTGCCATCTCTTTCGCACTCTCTACAGCCATCTCTCTTTCACATCTCTTTCGAGCTGCTGCTGTCTCTCCTTCTTCACGCTGCTTTTTGACTTCTTTTAGTCTGCTGATTAATTGAAATTTCACATTTTTCAAGCCAAGCCAAGCTCTGCTCACAGTCTTCATTAATCGCCGCTCTCGCATAATGTGGGGCACGCCCCAGACATGTTGCAAGTGCCACTTTTGGGTTGTTCCTGCCCCTCCTTTTGCTGCTTCCTGCCCGTTGGTTGTCTGTATTTGTTGTCTGTGTTTTAATGCGTTTTTAAAGTGCACAAACCACGCCCACGGGGCGTATGAAACCTTTTGCAGTTTCCAGCAATTAGCTCGCCGAATGTCATAAATGAACCACAAGAGCAGCAGCTACCCAACCCCCAGCCACTGCACTCTCAGCTGCTGTCAAAAACTGCTCCGAACTAATGACAGTGAGACTGGAGCAGAAACTGGAAGTGGAATTGGCATGGGATGGAGCACCAGATGGAGTGTGGCAAAGGCAAAGGCAAAGGCGCAGGCACAGGCAATTACACATGCAAATGACTTGCCACAAAGCCCAAACTGGAGGCCAGAAGAGATCATAAATCTCGAGATGTCAGTGGCCGCCCGTCAGAGCTGCACTCGAATGGCAGAGACACATCACAGGCATAGGCATAGAAATCAAACATCATTAGCATATTTAGGCAAAATATCAATTAGTTGAAAGGCAGAAATCCACAAAGAAATAATCAAAACTTTAGCCAGAGGAAAACTTCATGGAACGTCTGCCCATTCTGAAAGGAATCCCCTTTAAGCACGAACTGTTTCGCTTCCTCAATCCACTTGCCCCTTGGCAACATGCAATTTCAATGGCAATTGCAGTTGCCACACTGCAAGATGTTGCTGCAGCAACAAATGTCGCCCAGCAGCAGCAGCAATTGCTGCTGACGTCGACGCGGCGACAAAAAAGACGCTGCCAAGTGATGCGGCGCCCAGCAGCAGGCTGCACGTGGATGTGGCACAGTGGCACAGCAGCAACGAGCCAGCAACAGTAGTAGTCGTAGTAGTAGAAGTAGAAGAAGAAGTAGAACTAGTAGCAGCAGCTACTGGCAGCTGGGAACTGGGAACTGGGAACGGGCAACTGGCAACTGGCAACGTGTGGCAGGCTAAAACCGCGTGGCAGCAACAAGAACAGCTTTGGCTTCGTGCACGAAAGAGGTTTCGGCTGCCTGTTCGTGGGATTTGAGTTGAAGATGTTGCCCCGAGTGCTGCTGTGGCATGTGGCTTAGGGAAATGGCTGAGGCTTTCCACTATCCCTCTGCCCGTCCCACTGGATTGCCCGCCCCTCGTTAAAGTGCCAACATGTCCAGTTGCTTATCAGTCAGTTGCTCAGTTTTTCCGCTGCTTGTCATAAATTATGGGAACTGTTGCAGTTTTATGGCCGCCTTTTGTTTGAACAGCAGGAACCCCAGAGTCAGAGCACCCCCACACTCACACCCACAGCCGCAGCCACAGCTACTCACACTTATTCATACTTTACACTCACACACTCTCACATCGGGGAAGACTCACGCGTGGTCGCTGCGATAACTCATCCAAGTCACGCCGTCTGCCGTCTGCCGCTGCCGCTGAGGTCTCCCGACATGTTCCGCTTTGCCATCGGAGGGAGTTCATCTAACAGCGGGTAGAGATGGTCTAAAAACCGCCTAGCATTTCCTGCCAATCCCTGTGGCATGCCCCTCCCCTGAACACACCTCCCACCATCGTTCCATCGCATTGCAAATCAGTTTTGAAATGCAGCGACGCACGCAAGAAATGAGCTCTCGTTTGAAATTCAAACATTTTAGCTGCCTCCCCCCCCCGCCTACCGAACTCTACTCTGCAGCACCCTTTCGGAGACGCCTCTCACACCCTCTCCCGCGCCGTGTGGCACTCCTCACTTATTCATTGGTGCGTGTGTTGGCAAATGCCAAACATTTTTAGATGCGACTGCGAAGTGAAGCTTGTAAATACTTTCGAGTTTCGCCAAAGTGGAAAAAGATTTGCTGCCGTCGCAGTTTGAGGCATTTACTGTAGGAAGTTGTTGTTGTTGCGCGTCTTTTTCCGCGCTGCGATTGGCATTCCTACAGCAGTTTATGGAAATGGAAATGGAAATGGAGGTGGAGGTGGAGGCACTGGCACTGACACTGTCGGCGTACCCTGTAACCGACTCGGAAATGAGTGAAGCAAACATTTTTAATGCATTTTTAATTAATTTTCTGCTGCCTGAATGGTCTGGCAGGGGGCAGGTGGCTGGCGGAAGAAGACAAAGTTGCCACGGATGTTAACTGTAAACTGTTCTCTTGTCGCGGCATTGGCAAAGCCGGAACTTTTCAGCAAGAGGCTATTGCTATTAAAAGGATTGCGCCGAGGCAGTAAATAAAACAAAAAGGAATTTGGCGGGAATGTAAGTCGAGTTCTTAGTGTGGAGAAATCATTTCCGTGATTCAGAGCGAAGTACCATCCAATGCTTAGAATTGGCAATTAAAGTTAGGCAGCTGTTAAAGTGTTTCCATAATGAACCAAAGTGGCATAGTTTACCCCAAAGGAACTAAAATCATTCTACAGCCACATAACATCTTAAACTTACAGGTTAACGATTCCCATTCAAACAGAACCCCCATTCAAGTTCAACTTAAACCTGAGGCATAATTTCCTACGCTCAATTAGGACCAAATATCCGTAGACAACAATCGTAAAAACCAACCCAAGAGGGCGGCTCTTTCACGTTAACGAAGAGAGAGAGAGAGAGAGAGAGAGAGAGCTGGGAGCTGGAGCCAGGAGCTGGCTATCTCTGCCTGCTCATCAGCTAAGCAGTTGGGAGAGTTAAACACACCTCTTTACGAGCATGAATACTATCCTTTGGTTGCAGCATTAACCCTAATAGAGCCATCAATTAATTAAGCCAAGCGAAGCAGACAAGAAATTCTAGACAAATTATCAATTACATGCCCCAAGAAGTGGGCATTAAAAATTATGAAACTCTCTAGAATCAAATTTGACTCCTCCAACTACAGCAACAACTACGACTCCACTCCTATATGCCGTAAAAAGCGACTGTGACTGTTATCATAAAAGATAAGAAAGCGAGAGAGGGGCAGACAGGCAGACAGGCAGGTCGTAAACGAAGCAGCATGTGGATGCTGGAATGCTGCCGAGTGTGGAGCGTATGTAGTGTTCCGCCAACTTGAGTTCCACAAACAATGTCCGTGTGAATGGAAGGAAACTGGTTGTTTGCTGCCGCTGCTCTACAGCTGCTCTGCCTCTGCCTCTGCCTCTGCTTGTGTGTGCCTCCCCTCCCGCTCTTTATCTCTGGCTCTGGCTGGCCTGGCACGGCCTGCTCTGGCCTATTGAATGTGCATCAAAATTTATGTGGCCTTTTTTAGTCGTTTGCGTTGAGCCAGCGGAAGCGAACGTCGTCGTCGGAGCAGCCAGCAAGAGCCTCACATCGCGCGTCGTGTGTTGCCGTCGTGATACAATTCGAGTGTTTAGTGAAGAATATTTTGTGTACGACAGTGTACAATTGCACTAACATACGGCTACGAGATCGACTACAGGTACGAGTCTGAGCGGTGATCATTATAGAGCGCGAGAAGCCAGTGATTATTTCGTAATAGTCTGAAAAGTGTGTGACGAAAAGTGTGAAAAATAGTTAAAGCAACAAAAAACTACAGCTAGAAAATAAATTATAATATTTGGAAATAGTTTCACGTTTTCCAAATATTTATTTTCGAACAAAGAGCCCCAGAAAAATTGAAAATTGTGAAATGAAAGCCATTAAAAAAGCGCACATGTGGGCTTAAATATTTCCCAATATTCGCAAAGATCATTAAACAAAGACTCTCGTACACATTTTGGTTTTTGGGCCTGGCCGAGTAACCTTTTCCATACGAAGCGTTGAACCTGCCTGCAACCTGTTGCTGGCATTTGTGGACACTTTACCCCAAGCGGATGGCAACCACACTCGAAGAGCAAAGCGACCTGCTCCGTGCTCCGTGTGTACACTACAATTATCTCATTTAAATAAGGTACGAGAACGAGCATGTGCCAGTCATCTGTGTGTATGTTTAACCATCATTAAATAATTATGAAATCAGTTTAAATCTAAGCGCCCAGGAAACAGTGGAAATTAATCAAGTCACCGCGGTGGGTAGGCAGCAGCAAAAAAAAATATGCAAATTAAATTGAGGAAGTCGCCGATTGTTACACTTTATTGGCCAGCAGCATAACAGAGAACTTGTTCGCCATTCCCAACCCCCCTAACCCCTGTTCCCTGTGTCTTTGTGCCGTCGAGAAGCGTGAGAATATTCACTGGCCATTAATTAGCCAAAAGAAATCATTTAGAAGGCATCGACAAGAGTGCGGGTTCCGCTGAGAGTGTGGGGCCATCCATATGTGATGGTGGGACCCGGACTAACTCCCCAACTAATTGCTGAAGATCTTATAAGAAACGAACACGCGAAACGAACTCCCTGGCTGCTGACTGTGGAGGATTGCTGAACAATTGAAGGAATGGAATTACTAGAAATATGCTCAGCATCTCCAGCTAGAGATAGTTCCCCCCACCTCACCGCATGCCTCGATGTCTTAAAGTGCCCGTGAGCAGCATAAATCACACCCCAGTCCGAGCCAGTCCGGGGCAGTTCGAGTAACCATGTTGCACAGCATGCCACAGAGCCCGAGAGAGGTAGACCTCGAGCCAAACCCCATACTCAGACTCATTAAGGTTTTAATTTACAAGTTTAACTGAAGATTTAAACACTGAGATTTATATGCGTGCCGCGAGAGGCAATAATCAACGGCAACAACCCGCAATCACGTAGTGCCACAAAATCCCAGGCAACAAATCCCAACACAGGCCACAACATGCGCCAATGTCCACCTACGCAAATTGGTTTAAACAAACCTTCAATGAGTGCGGGCGAGGGCAGGCCCGTGGCTACGCCTGTTTCTGCGGGACTGTGGCTGTGCCTGTGCCTGTGCCTGTGTCTGTGCCTGGGTGTAATCGAATATGCAACTCATGAGGGAAACTTTAAAACAAAACATGACAACAACAACAACGACAACTGTTGCAACAACTGCTGCAGACGATGTGATGAAGATTTGTGCAAACAGACAGACATTAAAATCATTTAGTTGGCAGCGGAGAAGATGATGCTCAGCCACAGAAACAAATCAAGAAGGAAAGTGTGGAGTTGGAAGTACACGAAGATCGATATACCCTTTGCAGATTAAAGGAGCGGTCATGGGAGGTACATAGATGCAGCCTGTTGGAATATCTGTCCATATTTCAGCACTGATCGAACATAGAACTGAGGTAGTAATTGGCAGAGAACCCTTCGCGTCTGGCATTTCTAGATCTATTCTATATACCTTTCACACTCACAGAAGCTTCCTTCTTTGGCTAGCCAAACGATGCGGCATAATCCGAGCACCCTGCTGCGCATAGGGTATAGGAAAAAAACCGAAATTACAACGTTGATTAAGCAAGACTTGGAAGGAGGTGGATTGGCAGAGGCAGAGGCAGAGGCAGAGACAGAGGCCTGACCTTACACAACAGCAGGCGGGGAGGAGAATCACCACTGGGGGACGACTACGGTAGCAGCAGTAGGAGACAGAGGCCCATCAGTAGCATCCCAAATGGAAGGAGTAAAAGAGGCAGTGGCAGTGGCAGGGGTAAGCAACATCAGCTGCAGCCACGCACCTGCAGCAGCAGCAGCCGCCAATCACTCGGCGACAGCCAAGAGCAACGGCAACAGCAACAGCAACAGCAACAGAAGCTGAGACTTGCACGGGAAGGAGACGGAGAAGATGACTCTTTGGGAGCAACACGTGCATGTGATTTGAGAGACAAAAACCGTTCTAATTTCTCAACTGTCAGCTGAGAGATGCAACCTCTTCGCCCGCAGCATGCACCCCTCTCCCTCTGCCCATGCCTGACCCAACTCGTTAGCCGACTCTGTTGCCATAGCAATTATGTGTGTGGCAGCCACATAGCAGCAGCACAAAAGAAGGTCGGCATTGGCTGCTGCTGCTGCTGTTGCTGCTGTTGCACTGGTACTGGCACTGGCACTGCTTTTGGCTCTGGGCCTTTGCTCATGTCTTCATTTTGGACTCTTTTTTGCAGCAACAAAAACTGCACATGTTGCAGCCAGAAAAAGCAACAAACAAACAGGCAGCCGCAGCAGGCAGTAGGAGAAAGAGGTAGAAACGCTTTTGTTGGTTTGTTTGCATTGCTTTTGCAACACTTTTGGCCTTTGGCGCTGATGTTAACCCCACTCTGGCACAGCCACACCGGCACACATCGGCCCACCCGCTCTTGTTGCCTTTATTAAGCAACCGCAGCAAAGTCACTTGCTGCAACACCAACACCAAAAGCAAACAGAAAGAGAAACAGCAACAAACAGCAGTGGCAACAGCAACTTTACCCAAAAGAAACAGAAACAACACAAATCTACCATTTAAATGGGGCATAACGATCTTGAAAATATGTTTGCAATGCGATGAATAAATTGTCTCAGATGGCAGGGGAATTCAAAAGGGAATGTAAAAGCTACTCAGAGAACAACAATGCAATTTTATGGAATAAAAATGAAGAGAAATAGATGATGAACTGAAAATTCCTATGAAAAACTTAGGAACAATATTTCCCTTTAAACGAAACCCAAGCAAACACCTCCACAAATTTAAATCCCCTTTTCTTCACAACTTTTCCAAATCACAGCCAAATCGTAAGACTATATTCTATATCCATCTCCGCAAGAGTATCCAAAGTGTTGGGCTAACCCAAAAGTCATTCTTGATTTCTTCTTTAATAGTTTTTTATTTTTTTAGCTGGAAACAAGTTTTTGTAGCTGGAAACTTGGGTCTCGGGGACCCTCTGGTGTTGACGTACCCGCTGGTTGTCGATTTGGTTTTGCTGCTCATTCGCTTACCCCTGCCCTGCCCCTCCTCGCTGTCTCTAATTTGCACCGCTTTAATTTTTGCCTTTTTATTTGCAACACTTGTCGTTTAAATGCAGCAACAGCCGGGCAAAGTGCGGCTAATAAATTAAAGGCAAGCCAAAAAAAGGCAGAAAAAACCAAAACAAAACAAAAACAGAGACACTACTGACTCGGCCAGAAATATCATCAAACGAGCAAGTGCCTGTTGGCCGTTGTGCTGGTCTGGTCTGGTCTGGTGTCTGCGAGTCAGTGGTCCGCAGAAGGAAATTATCTATGTGTGGCGGCGGCTGCCAGGTTCTCCGAGCTCAGCCTTGAAAGGAGTCTCGGAATCCCCCCACACACAACAGTCCCCTAGTCGTAGGTCTCCCCACTGGGCTGTTGGTTATTCCGTGGCATGGCACAATCGCAACAAATGGCATTTTTATTGATATTTCGGTCGGTTTGCCTGGCAGCCGCCGCATGTTGAAATATGCGCGCCACCTGTTGATTTTGTTTGGCGATTGCCACAAGGCACTCGGCGGCACTCGGGGAACGAACGTACTGCTGGAGGAGTACAAACACTCCAGCACTCCAACTGCATCGTAGGAGCTGCCTCTGGTGCTGGTGCTGGTGCTGGTGCTGGGGCTGAGGTCTGCTCGTGATTTGCAGTGCAAATTAAAAGCGAGGGCGCTGCATATAAATAGCAATTTGGACAGGGGAATTAAGGTAAACGACTGCCAGCAACTACAAATCTCACAGCGAAGAGAACTACAACAAAATACGCTCAAAGATCGTTCAGTTGTGTCTGTCACATAATGGAGTGGCATTATATCAACGGCGTGACTTTCATTTCAAACAAATTAAACAGAGAAAGAGACGGAAGAAGAACGAGTAGTTGCACGGCTATAAATAATTGCATTAGAGATGATCAAAGTGTTCAGCAAAGACACCCAAAAAATAGTGGATGGTATAGAATAAATTATACAAATGGAAAATGAATAAGGACAGGAACTCCGTAAAATCCTACAAACTTCCCACTGGTTCCACTCTAACGAACCGCAAAGTCTTAGTTTTCTGTTTCCCTAGAAAAAAAGAATAATCAACGTCGTTTTGGGGCAATAAAACTTGAAACTAAACTTACAATTTTATCACTTGCTTGCTTACCCACTCGAAACCTAAACTTTATCTGAGGAATTGCATCCAATTAAAGGTATTTTCCGAGTATTTTGTGGACTGCATTTACGTTTGCTCCAATAAGATAAGCCTGACAGGGCAGCAAGGCAGAGGGAAATGCATTTGCAGTTAGCGCTGGAGCTGTGCCCTAAGTCTTACAGTCGTAGATGTTGACAGAGAGACGACAGCCCAGAGATGTAGATAAAGCGCTGATAAGCAGCAAATTTGACAGCCATAAAGCAAACAACAAACTGACGGACAGGTAGGAAGATATATGGGAATGGGAACTGAACTTACTCTAAAGCAGAAGGAGGAGGAGGAGGACAGACTCTACACTCCGCAGTCGGAATCGGAATCGGAATCGGAGGAGGGCAATGAAAATTAATGAAACCTGTTTTCGGAGCATTCTTTTTGTTTTTATTGTATTCCGTCTGTCGTTTAATTAAAAGACAATCAAAAGCTGAGGCCCGCCGATGGGGCAGCTGGATGGATCCGCAGAACACAGGAACAAAGGCGAAGATGGAGTTGAATCCTACCGAGGGAAGAGATGCCAAGAGTTCATCATGAGAATCCAGAGCAGAGAATCCCCCAACTACAGTCCCCTCATGAGGGAACTGGGAACTGGCAGTGAAAAAAAAACCTGCTTCGGGATTCTTTATCGACATGTTTATGGGCTTCGTATGCCCCCGAGTAACCAGAACAAGAAGTCCAACAAATGTATAAATATTTACACGAAATATTTACGATTAGGAAGGGAGGAGGAAGGGGGGAAGGAGGCAGGGCAGCAGGCAGGCTGTAGAGTCACAGTGGGGCAATGGCAAACCAACCGCAATATCGCCGCCTCTTAATGAAATGCTAACGATATTCATTGGAAAAATCAAAAGCGTAACGAGCCAAGTGAAAACCGCAGAGATGCCAACAGGCAGGCCACA